TATTATGTGGTTTCATTTTGTAAAAGGGGAAACTGTCAAATAGGTTCTCGAATTTTCATAAAAAGGTCAAATAAGTCCTTATATATGAGGCTCTGTCCGGCTGTCGCGATTTGGGGTGGTTAACGGTGGAATTTTTTGCTGAAACTTTTTTAACATCTTATTCATCAAGTCTAGTTTACTCATATCAAATTTCAGCTAAAACTTCAATCGGGAACACATTCAAATTAATTCTTGAAGATAACTGTTCAGTTAAATGCGCAATTATCTTCAAGAATTAATTTGAATGTGTTCCCGATTGAAGTTTTAGCTGAAATTTGGTATGAGTAAACTAGACTTGATGAATAAGATGCTCAAAAACTTTCATAAAAAAATTCCATCGGAACCGCCCCAAATCGCGATGGCCAGACAGAGCCTCCTATATAAGAACTTATTTGACTTTTTTATGAAAGTTCGAGGACCTATTTGACAGTTTTGTAAAATAATGTTATTATTAGGTTTGTGAAGCAGACCACATATTTTTTTATATTTAGGCTCTGTTTGGAATGCACTTCGGCTTATTCAGCTTATTCTACTCATTAGTTGGCTGAGATGGATGTTAGTTTGTTACCAAGCACTTATCCTTTACAAAATCCAGTAGATTCAGCCAAATATATCCGTTACCATTGAGGGATCTTAACTCCAGATATTTGTTCCTTTGCACTGCAGGCAGACCCTCGGTTTGTTTGGAACAACTACATCATGGAAGTTCTTATTGATAGCAAGGTTATACGACCATTCCTCTTAAGTGAGTGCAACCCGATATCCATATAATATCTGCAAATCATTGACTATCCCATACTTCTTTTTGCAGCTTGACCCCTTCTTGCTTCCCGTTCTCCAGGGAAGTATCCTTTTCTGTTTACTTAAACTAAACACAGGTTGTTTTGTTTTAAAACCCGTACATTTCTTTAATTTCCAGCATCATGGACTGTTGTGTATTATTTCCATTCACTGTGGGGGATGTGGACTGTGGTAATTTTTTGTGAGAGTTTTATAAAACCGAAGAAAGATTCAAGAGATGAAAAAAGTGTTGGATTTGTAGAAAAGGGGTGACATGAAAGATTTGTCAAGTAGAAAAAGGATTAAAGTCAATGTACATATGCTCATGGGCGGAGCTAGGGGAGGGCCATCCCTGGCCCTGGCCCAACCCAAATTTTAAAAATGCATGTATTTTTAGTGTAAAAAATTCCACGTAAAAAATTTTCGAAAAATATTCTTTGTATCGGCCCAGTCCGGCCTAGTGCTCTAGCTCCGCCCCTGATATGCTAAGCTGATCATTGCGTGTTTTTGTCAAGCTCATAGTACATGAAATAAGATATGTCTACTAGATCACAATGTCTTTTAGTTTTTTGTTTCTCGACTTTATATAAAATACACCATCTACCCCCCCCCACCCACCCAAACTAAAAAAACATGTTTCAAACACATCCTCCCAAGAGAGTCCAATTTAATGAAATGCAGCTACCTTTCATGCAAGTTTTCAAAAAAGAGTCATGAGACAAGTTACACATGATAAATAAGTGTACTTGAATCAACAACAAAAAAGTACTTTGTATGATTCATAATTGGTCAAACATGACTAAAACCGATTAGATTATTGGCACATACAAATTTGTGGTAATTATATATTTCAAACTTCCAACCTAAAGTGAAATAATAATTATATTGTTTATTTTCTATAGTCGCTGTAATTATTTTTAAATTCTTCTAGATGAAGGAAATATTATTCTCTTTTCAATTACGTCGACATTAAATTGTTGCAACGTTTCGCCCTCCTAACCATTACATCAATGCAAAGTTATGCCTTGACTAATTATCAGGTTTTCACAACTTCCAAGCAGCCATTGGAAAAGATATTATTGATGTTACACTGATTGCACGAAGGTGCAATAGAAGAACTGGTATTTAGAACCCCAAATTTCATTCTATTCCAATCCCGAGTTTTCACTATAAGCTCTTTAGAATGTAAATAATGAAAAGTGATGAGTTCAAATAAGATACAATATTACAATATATATTCACTATTGCTGAAAATGACTAAAGGTTAGAGATACATGCTCATCACAAAGTAAATCATCTGAATGAATACTCTTCACTAACAAGAAAGAGAGTCTTCAGTTTCTTCTATATGAACAACAATTTAGGAACACGGATGTGGAGGAGAGGTGCTGATTCTGATGGATATGTTGCAAATTTTGTGGAAAGTGAACAAATCTTGTTAATGAATGGATTTACAGCATCATTTGTTCAGGTAAGCATTTAATTGAACATATTGACAAATTCTGGTTTCACATAAAATGCTTTTGGCTAATATAAAATATTGAGGTAAGGGGTTGTTAAGCCTTTGTTTGGAGTGTGTAAAATACCAGGGAAAGAAAATAGGAGGGGGGAAATCAAAACATGGAGAAAATTAAGAGGATACAAAATATATTAGGGAAACAAGTAGATATGTTAAAACTCAATAAATTACTTTTGAATATTTGTTGATACCCATATTATTCATTTATATAATTATATCCACTATATAAAGTCTGAGTAATCTAAAATATTATAATATGTAAATTAGAAAAAATTTAGTCACATTCTATTATGCAAAGTAAAACAGAACATAGAAAACTAACTTTCCATAGCAATATTTTTCTTCCTCTAGAATTTTCTGTTTTCCAAATATACTGTAAATGTATTGACTTTACTTAGGGGTGAAATACTGTTGGGATTTTTCTTTTGGTTTGGTTTAAATCTAATTAGAATTAAACTTAGTTTCTTTGGGTTCTGTTTTCAGTTATTTTTCTGTTTTAATGGGTTTTTTCTGTGCTATGTTAGTTCACTTTGGTTTTAATCAGTTAGGGTTTGGTTCCGCTCAATACAATTTATGAAAACCATTACCAAACTAAGACCAAATTACATATGGTCCGGTTTTGTTTGGTTCATTCCTTTTGGTCAAACCGGACCAAAATGCCCACCCTAACTTTAATCTTTGGATTTCCTTTTGTAGGTCCGAGGGTCGATCCCTTTATTGTGGGATCAGATTGTTGATTTGACATATAAGCCCAAGTTTGAAATAGTCAGACAAGAGGAAGCAGTAAGTAACCTAGCAGGCTTTGGTTACTCAGAATCTTTACTCATTATTGAGCTTATAATTAGTAATTTATAATTGTATATTCTATACAATATGTGTAGCCTCGGGTTATTGAGAGGCACTTTTTGGATCTGAGAAAGAAATATGGGAATGTGATTGCCATTGATCTTGTCAATAAGGTACATTATTACTACCATGCATTTTGTTTTACGGAGTATTAGAAGAATAATGGAAGTACTTACTTTTTCTCTAGCAGCATCCATTGTTTTATTTAGAACTATAGTCTATAGATTGTTTTCTGGTGTGAATACATATTATTTTCTAATATTGGGTTTTATGATGTAATTCCTCAATATATTGTAAGCCGCCAACTGGCGAATGATATTTTGATTTAATATATTACTTCAGTTTGATGATAAAAAATATTGGGTTTTATGACTTTTATCTCAGATGTAAAAAGAGTTGATACACACACCAGTTGGTATACCGTGCAACCGGTGCATGGTGAGCACCATGCACCCATGGTTGTATGAAATGTAACTCGTGTGATTCGAGATGTAACTTCAAGTTAATCAAAATGTAAATTGCACTCATTCACATGTAACTCATTGAAATGTAAATTGTTTTTATTGAAATGTAACTTGGGGAACAAATTAGATGTAACTTGGGATATGTAACTTTAGACGGTTGAAATGTAAAACGTTTTTACAGAGATGTAACTCCATATATATATATATATATATATATATATATATATATATATATATATAAATGAGGCGTGGTCTGGAGCTGAAACTGGGTGTTGCAGCTGGGGATTGTGGTGGTATGATGCGGCAGTTGCATGGGCTGCATAGGGGTTGTGGTTGTGGAGGGTGTTGGGCAACAATTTTGCAGGCTAAGGATGGGAGAGGGGCTGGGGGCTGTGAAGGTCATTGTTGCCCGGCCAGATGGTGGTGGTAGGTGGCCAGGGGTGAGGAGAGTGTTGCTGGTTTAGGCGGACGTGGTTGGGGAGGGCGGACGATCGCGATTTTTGTGTTGTTTTGCGACCGGGCACACCATCCTCATGGTGCGCCGGTCGCACGGTATAAATTGCGTACACACACATATAGTTAGTCTTTTTAGTTTTTATATAATAGGAGTATATAAATAATAAATAAATAACTAACGCTGAAACAATAACTAAAATCTATACACTGAGTTTTACCAATCTTTTACTTCCTTCAAATTTTCTTTCTTGCAATTTTTATTTCTGTTTTATTTTATTTATTTTTCTCCTATTATGTTCCAGGTTCCTATAGTAGTCTAACAAATTCGGCTGTTGATGGTCAAGTTAACGAAAATACCACTTTTATTCCATCAGCAATTCAACATGACAAATCCAAATAACATAACACAGAAGAAGAAGGCAGATCCCTTAGAAATTACATAAATTAACTAAGTTCAAACAAAAATCAAGACAATTTTGGTCATCTCCAGATACGTAGAAGGTTTGGACTTAATTTATTTTTTCTTTTAAATTGTGGAACAGCTAGGAGGAGAGGGACGCTTAAGTGAAAGGTTCTGCAATGCAATGCAGCATAGTGCTAGTGAAGAAGTGAAGTAGGGAAATCTTTCTAATGGAAATTTGGTCAAATGCGGAGTAACTTTCATCAAGCCATGCTAATACTTTATACTATTTGTAGATACTTGCACTTCGATTTTCATCACATGTGTGGTCATGTTCACTTTGAGAATCTCTCAATACTTTATGACCAAATTGAAGGCTTCCTCACCAAAAACAGGTATAATTTCTTCTCATGTAAAACATTATGTGCAGTTCTTGAATAATATGTTACAATTTCTAGTAGAACTCTTAATTGGGTTAAGATCACTCAATTTGGTCCTGATGCACATGGTACAAACCACACTCCGGTTGGGTACCCGTTTTGTATGGTTAATTTTGCTAAAATGATTAAATTGTCTTAATTGTCTGAATTTTCTCAACGGCTCCCACCTACGGGGGTTACATGTAGGCACCCTTACTATTGTACTAAAGCACAAAGAGACTATTTCCAGATGACCCACGATGAAAATCACGCCGAAAATTGCATGAACCGACTGCTAATTCAGAACAAAGAAGCGCAAATAGTTTAGTGAGTCATTTTGCTTTATTCCATCGTGGAAAAACGTTTGACAAAATTGATTTTAAACAGTTGAGTTGAAGTCTAATTCTGAATTTCTAATTAATATGCTTGATAGCTATACCAGATACCGCTAATGGTACTGTAGAGAGAATGCTAGTTAAATATAGAGAGAAGGTAATGTTTACAACCCTTTACGTGGCCAAGTCATGAGTGTTGAGTGAGACTGCTAATACACAAGGAAGACAAACTATGTCCAATTATTTGTATTAGAGAACCCTTTGTCCACGGGCGGGCCACAGCCGAGGGGTGAACTTCGGATGTAGCTACTAGCTTCATTGTGGGATGAACTGTCTTGTGCATGTTACTGGGAAAATTCTTTGCCTGGAAGCATGACACTTCACCTCGATTGTCGCTACCAGGAGCCCCTTGTTCATAGGTGAGGTCTGGCAGAGTGTTCATGCCATGAGTATTGTCCTATGACGTGGTGTCCTCATGTGAGACTGGCGGAGTTGTGGATGAGGGGTCGCAGACCATGGGTGATGGGTGTGAGTGTTGTCTGCCACCCTGCCAGCCTTCTTCAGTGGAGTTGCCTCTTTGGGATATTGCTTTTGGACTCCTGATGAGGGGCATGACTGAAGGATCACGTAAGATGTGAGTTGGGCCGAGCTTGAGTTGTCATGAGGATGCGTACTGTGAGTCCAGACCCATATACTCCATCAGTGTTGACAAGCTAAATACAAACAAGTAGCTATTTTAATCACGAATGATTGGGTAATACATGAATTATTGATGAATATAGTTGTTATAGTTGAATCTATTTTTCCAATGAAATAAAAAGGGTTGAAATGGATTATCCTAAACTTAGATATGATCAAACATAGAACTAGATGTCATTTCGATATGATCAAATGATAAATATGGGCTATTAATTGCAATACTTGAATTTAGCTTTCCAAACAAAATGAAATAAAAAAGGGATCAAATAGATTATCCTAAGGGAGCGCTTGTTATAACTATTATATATGATCATATCTAAGTAATTCCAAGGGATCTCTTATAGCAATTATTCTAAATACTACAAAACTGGTTCTGAGTCCAATTGAACGCATGACCTTTTAAAAGCACATGTCTCGATTTGATATTTATATATGTGGCACACTTAAAATTTTCAAAGACCACAAAAACCTATAACAGACTGCCAGTTAATGACCATAAACTATCTGAAGGTCTCCATGTCCTAGGGTATTTACTTGAAGCTGACCCCTATTTAGAGCTTCTTGGTTTTCTATTGCTAGAGCCCTATGGTTTTATTGACATATATGGGTTTCTTTTTATCTTAAGGTACTTTCTACTGAATGAAAAAGGTGAGAAAGTTGAGACACAACTTGGAGTTGTGAGGACTAATTGCATAGATTGCTTAGATCGAACAAATGTCACTCAGGTCTGTTTTCTCCTTTCAAATTCAATATATCAGTTTCTTAAGATTGCAAATTACGGAAGCAATAAGTTTTCGTTTATGTTTTCACTCTTATACCATGGTGTTAGAACATGGTTTAGTTATTTTTTAAGGAAAATGGTAAAGAATGCTCTTAGGGCGATGTTTAAAGAATCAAAAGTGGAAAGATATTTGTTTTGATGCAAAATAAATAGAGATATGTTTAAACAGTACAACTCCAAGCTGAATTTTGTAGTTTTCAAAATTAAAAGAAACACAAATCTAAAAGCATTCTACTACAAATGGAAATAAAGCCTGGGTGCAATTAAAATGTTTTATTTATCAATTTTATTTGAACTGCTCCCTCCATTTCGTAGACTGAACATTGCTTTGGATCAATATGTGGTCGTGTTTGTTTCTATAGATTTATACTCCCTTTGTCCCCAAAAAAGAGTTATGTTTCATTAAGATACAGCTTTTAATTTTTTGCAAGGTACATCTCTTTGTATTATCTATCCTATTTGTTTTTTTAAACTTATCTGCAAATTGGAATTATCAACAACTTTTAACATATTTTTTGGAATACTTTTTTCAAAAAGAAAATTAAGTTCAATTGGATTACCTTCTTTTGATGGAATATGATTTTTTAAGGACAAAATTGTTTTGAAACATGATAGTTTTTATGAATGAAATTCAATGGATATACTTGAAGCATTGGTGAGCCTATCTTACCACCAATGGCGTAGGCAACGTGGTATATCGAAGTGGGCTAGTACAACGTTTTTTTTTGGATTTTTTTTACACAATATTTTACCCTAATAATATAAATAAAATTGAAATTTGAGACGGGCTGGGGCCTAAGTTCCCTCTAGCTACGCCCCTGCTTATCGTTGAAACTTTGAAGACTCTGTTTGGATATGAGAAAATGCTAGGAAGAGAAAAAAAATGATAAGGGATTTTTTATGCTTGTTCGTATATATATACGAAGAAGGACTTGCATTTGGTGTTCATTAAGTTAGGAAAGATGTACTGATAAGGCACCTCAAGAAGTCCTTTGGTAGGCATTAACTACAAAAGGCATATCACGTAAGTATATCAACACCATCATGGATACATATAAGATTGTATTATAAGTGTCTGTAGTAGGGAGGACTACATAGTTCCCTATTACTATCGGAGTGCACCGACATCGGTTCTAAGCCCTATCTTATTTGTTATAGTCATGGATGGACTCACTAATTCAATTCAACGGGTAAAATGTACATCTTGAACTCATCCATAAAAAAAACAAAGCCAACGGGGCATACCCCTGAGAAACAAAAACAAGAGCCAAAAAATCAAAGCTAGTGAAACTTCACAATGTGTGTTGCTGACGATAACATGGTGCATGATATTTCCCGATCATATTTTGTTGCTGAGACACGACCATGTGTTTTGAACATGATGGTTTTTATGAATGAAATTCAATGGATATACTACATGCTTCAAGTATACATTAATTCAATTCAAGAAGATATAACATAGTGCATGATGTTTCCCGACGATATTGTGTAGCTGAGACAAGACCATGTGTTAAAGAAATTTTGGAATTATGGCGACAAGCCCTTGAGAGCAAGGGGTTCACGCTGAGTCGAAACAAGACTGAGTGTTGGAGTGCAAGATTAGTGTGGGTAGAAAGTAGAAAAACAATGGTAATAATATTGGAATTACCTTGAATGGTAAAGAGATACTAATAAGTGATATGTTCTATTACTTGGGCTTCATAATTCAGGACATAGAGTTAGATAGAGATGTATCCCTTAAAATCAAAACGATGTGGATGGAATAAAAGGGAGTGTAAGGATTTCTATGTAATCAAAATATGCCGACTAGATTGAAGAGTAAGTTTTGTCGAACAACAATTGAGTCTCCGTTATTGTATGGTGTAGATTGTTGGGCAATGAAACAACGTCACATTCAAAGGATGAGTGTGGTTGAGATGCATATGTTGTGTGGGATGTGTTGACATACTAGAAAAGACTATTTGACAACTGATTAGAGTGATCAAGGATGATATGACATTTCTTCGGATTAGATGAGAGTATGACTTTGGAGAAAGTAGTGGACTCGAGGAGGGTATACATGTGGAGGATTTATCTATTTATTGTTTGTAACCGCAATGTCATATGTTGGTTCATGTTAGCCGGTGCCAAACTCTTGGGATTAAGACTTATACGTTGTTTTTGTTGTTATTTACCTTGGAAAATGTAAACGAAACTAAAATATGTTAATGTTTTTTTGTTTCATACATAGTTTAGGTTCCCTCCACATTTTCTTTGCTTATAAATTTCCTCTATATTTTTCTCCATACTTTCACTAGCATTTTTCGAGTTCCAAAGAGACCGTTACAGAAAAGTTGTATAACAATGTTTGCAGAGCATGATTGGTAGGAAAATGCTGGAATTCCAATTCAAAAGGCTTGGTATTTTTAGTGCTGATGAAACGATTAGCAGCCACCCAAATCTTGATGAGAGCTTCAAAAAATGTAACAACTTATGTAGCAACTCCTGTCTATATCTTTTTTTTTAACTTTGAAGTTTTAACCCTCCTAATTTTGTGGTCTTTAGTGTGGGCTGATCATGGTGATGACATAAGTATCCAATATTCCGGAACTCCCGCTTTAAAGGGAGATTTTGTGAGGTAACTAACTATGTCTCTTTTGATTGGTTTTCTAAAAGAAACCATGTGTAAAGGACTAGATGTGATTAGTTTCTTTTTTTTTGTTTTATATATTACTCGTATTATTTACACGGAGTAGTTCTTTGTTTCTGTGACGTGTGAATAAAAACAATCATGATCTAAAATAAATTATTTGATGAGTTTTAGCTGATCTAAATGATATTCTCCCCACTGGTTCTTGTTACTGAGGAAACTTGCATATAACAAAGAGAGATGTTCGGATGTGCAGATGTGGTCAAAGAACAGCCCACGGGATTATGGCCGATGGCTACAATGCCCTGAAACGCTACTACTTGAACAACTTCCAAGACGGTACGAAACAGGTACTTGGTTACTTTACGCACTCATAAAGCCCATTGCATACCTTTTTTGAGCGCTCCTCCCTCATCAGCTCCACAAGTGACTGTGGATCGCTACTCAATTTGGATCTAACCTTCCCTCTTGAGCTAGGTTTATTATGCTGCTGAGAAGTTAGCACCGACAGTTTACCTAATTATGTATTTGGTACCGATACTAACCTAAATACGTATCAAGCCCGTATCCATAGTTTTATTAAAATACCGCCCCCATTTTGAATAAAATCTTCTCATACACATATTTAAAACAATACATACATGCATGAGAAAAGATAAGGTATTGGATACTATCCATCTTCCCATTCATGAGTCAAAAGATAAGGTATTTGAAATTTTACATCTTCCCATCAGTAGGAGGGTGCCTTGCGCATCGGACGGTCGGGCAGCGGCGAGGACGGCTTCGACATCAGCGAAAGTGTGGACCCCAAGATCTACGGCCGTTAAATTGCCGATCAGACGGCTGTCAGGAAGCAAGGCACTCTACCTTGCTCTAAAGCAAGGCAGAGGCTCCGGATCCGAGCCTATGTTATTAAACTTTAAAGTTTTAAGTATGATTATTTTATTTCATACTTCAAGTCTAATTTTTTTTATCATAATTATGAGTGTTTGGTACTAATGTACTACTCCCTCCGTCCCTTAAAACTTTGTCACTTTCCTTTTAAGTAAAGAATTTATGGTCCCGGAAGAGGGTGACACGAGTTTTAAGAAAAGTGGGTTGTGTGGTTGGTATTAATTGATAAAGTAAGAATAAAGTAAGAATGATTTTGAGCCACACAAACTTTACCAAATAAGGTATGTGACAATTAAATAGGGACATCCCAATATAGTAAAACGGGACATTTAAAAGGGGACGGAAATGGACTAGTGGGGGTTGAATGACCTAGAATTAGATTAAAGCATGTTTGAAATAGGCAAATAGCGTGAGTTCACTCGTTGTCCAGAATTAAGCAAACCCCATGGGAGAGTCAGGGAATGAAAATCCCCAGGAATAAAGAACTTCATGTTCCAAGCGTGGATACGACTTGATTCCCGCCCCCATTTTGGCTAACTATGAATTATAAATATATGTATATTAAAGTTCATTTCTTTACTTCCATGTATTGCAATTTTTAATTTTGGCCCACCAAAAGTAAGTTTTTTTGATGAAATTACTGATTATTATCATGACTTCTTTTTGCACTACAAAGGATGCAATTGATTTATTGCAAGGGCATTATATTGTCTCCGTTGCACGAGACACAATGCAGTCATCTCAGCGGGGAGGCATTGAAGCTGTTGCTGTGAGTACCTTTTCTTAACCATTATTTGTCATTTTTAGAAACCTATAGTAGGCTGTAGACATTTATTAATCAGGTTCATCTTTTGAGCTGCCAGAAATATGTAGTTACAAATTTTAACTAGGTTTATCTTTGCATGATTTTCCACGGTTAATGCAGCGAATCAGCTAACAGTTTTTCTTGACTCCATTACAGTCGTTTCCAGTGGCTTTTGCACTGATCATGCTCGGGTTGTTTCTGGCTGCATTGTCGCTAAGACAAGGTGAGTTGTCATGATTTGATTGGGATATGTATTCTTGGTTGTACAAATCGGCCTAGGTGCCCAACTGATTCTTGTGACTAGGTGGTAAAAAAATTAATATTTTATAGGGAATCATTTCTATTCGAGTTCTTTATGTGACATCTACATACTTAGACTTTTGAGAGAATTTAGAAAGTTAGGGTTGTTATGGAGAAATTTTTCTGATTAAAAGTGTGTTCAGAAAAATATCCAGATGAAACCCAACAGGGAAGTCTCGCAAGGGTATGTTTGGGAGTTTGGGGGAAGGGGTGGGGAAGGGTTTGAAGGTTAGCCATAGGAGGAAAGGGGAGAGGAAGTGAAGGAAATCATTCTTCTTTGGGAGTTACAAATTTGAAAAGAGAGAGACTATATAATGTATTTACAATCATTCCAAAGACGTGAGAAATTCAAATACTTGGACTTGTATTCATTTTGGTTGGGCTAAAGTTATGATTTAATTAGTTATCCTTCAAAAACTCCAAATGTAAGGGAACTTGAAAATTGAGCATTGGAAGGGTTTGGGAGAGTTACAAAAGACCCAAACCATCCCTTCCAATTTTTTAAACTCTCAAACAAGAACGGGAGGATCTTAAACCCTCCTCATCCTTCCCCTCCCCTCCAAAACTTAACTCCCAAACATACCCCAAAGAAAATCAGAAAACGCATCACGAAAAATACTTTTCAGTTAAAATAATGGGACAGACTAATTAGAACTAGAAATCACTGGCCAAGGTGATGCTCAACTGACCTAGTAATGCCTCGTGATTTCTGTGTGTTATAAATAAATAGATAAATAAATAAAAACTGTGTGTTTGGGATGTGCAGTTCGAAATGATCCTTGGAACCTTTTATTTTCAATGATTTGGGCAAGCATGAGTGTGGGTATAGCTGCATTTGTGAAAGCCAATGGCCGTGCTTTCTGCAATCGCCCACGCCTCCACCAACCCAGACGCTGAAATAACAATAACAATAAGTTTTATTTTGGATACAGTATCTTATTGTGTAAATCTACAACAGAAACTTCATTGAATTTTATAAAGAACAACCTAATATTTTGAATTCTGCAGTTTATGCATATACTTTGATTATTGTACTGATCCGAAAAACTGTATGCATCCAACAACTCGCCATTAAAACTAAATAGTTCAGGTGCTGTTTGAGCATTTTGCCTGGGATCTTAGTCTTTGGACATCTCCATAGCTTCAATTTGACCCAATATTTCCACAACTTGTTTCATAGAAGGCTGTTGCTTAGGTTCTTCATCTAGGCATCTTAGAGTAAGTTCAGAGGCTTGTAAAACTGCGTTGGAGTGATACTGACCATCTATCCTACATTACGGACTTTAGCTTTTTCCCATGTGACTAGGGGTGGACTGAACCGGGCCGGTTCGGGCCTCGGGCCTGGGCCCGGCCGGGCCTCGGTTCAGAATATTGAGGCCCGAGCCCGAACCGGGGGTGGCCGGTTCCGGGCCGGTTCCGGGCCAGACCGGGCCGGTTCCGGGCCGGTTCCGGGCCAGACCGGGCCGGTTCCGGGCCGGGCCACCCGCCCTATTTTTTTTTTTTTGGTTTTTTGGCTTCTTTATTTAATCCCCTACCCCTCTTTCTCAACCCCAAACCACCCCAAACCACCTCAAATGGACCAAAATACCTAATCTAACCCAAAACATAAAAAATTTTCAAAAAAAAATAAAAAAAAAATTATTTCCGGTCCGGACCGGGCCCGAACCGGCCGGGCCGGTTCACCATATGGAAGGCCCGGGCCCGGAACCGGGAACCACCGGGCCGGTTCGACCCGAACCGCCGGTGAACCGGGCCACCGGGCCGGGCCGGTTGCTACAGTGGCCGGGCCGGGCCGGTTCCGGGTCGGGCCGCCCGGCCCGAGTCCAGGCCTACATGTGACCATTGGTTTTGCCCATTTTACCAAGTTTTCTTGCCCAGAAGGTCTTTGGGAATTGAATGCTCTTTGGCTAGTCAATATTTCTAGCAGGACCACACCAAACCCATACATGTCGCTCTATACATATAGGTGTCCCCTGTACATGTCAAAATGGAAAAATTAACAAGAATAATCTCACCTTTCACTGGTCTTCTCATAATAATCCCACCTTTACATAATCCCAAAATAATTCCATCTTTGCACTCCACCTTCTTTCATTGGACCCTGGCTAAGTTTTTTATCCTTCTTTGAAAATCTTATATAAATAATCTCACATTTATAAGGATATAATAAAAAAGTGAAAGGTGGAATTATTTATATGATTTTCAAAGAAAGAGTAAAAAACATGGTCAGAGTCCAATGAAAGAAGATGTGGTGCAAAGGTGGGATTATTTTCGGATTATATAAAGATGAGATTATTATGAGAAGACCACTGAAAGGTGAGATTATTCTTGTCAATTTTTCCAATCAAAATTACCACTTCATTCAAAATTAAAAAAATGACACATTTGGTCCCCGAAAGTCTTATTCAACTATTTTTTTAAAATTATAAAAATGACTACATACACAATACTCCCCCCGTCCCGTTTAAAGGTTCCCATTTTCCTTTTTTGGAAGTCCCACTTAAAAGTTCTCACTTTCTATTTTAGGAAACAATTAACACTCTTAAATAACAATTTAATCATCAAATATTAAAAATAATACATTTATAACATTACAGTTATCATCAAAATTATTTCTCAAAATATATTCGAATTAGCATATTTTATTATTCTCTAAATAATTGTGTCATTTTGCCATAGAAACCTTTAAATGGGACGGAGGTAGTATCATATTAGGGATAAATGATTTTATATCCATGTTGTTTGAATAATTTTATTCATTTTTTTTAGAGATAGTATTCATTTAATTATATCTATATTGTTCAATTTATTTTAGAAGAATGTGTTATTTTTTAATACGTGACATGTTGAACTGCTTAATTATACTAATGATAATTATTGTTCAATATTGAATATGGCATCAACTCCGCCATGAGATCATTGTTTTTGGTATCATGTCTGTCCCAAGTCAGGATAAAGGAGGAGGGTGTTGTGGTAGGCGCGTGACAGCCAACAGTATCACCTAGTCACATCACATTCTTTCTTTTCCTTTTGGTGATATCATGTATTGATTCATGTTAGCCGACCTCAATATCTTTTGGGACTAAGACTTGGATGTTGTTGTTGTTGTATTGAATATGACATCAATGGATTATTAATTGTATTTTGTAACATTTTAATAATGGATTAGATATGTCGCTAGTAACATCGATTTAGTATATTTTGTTAGTCTATGATAATTTGTTGTATTGGGAGACATGCATGGTAATTTACTGTACCGTTACCGAACTGAAACTTCGGTATATCGAAATGCGATATACTGAAATTTCATTAAGATAACGGTATATAAATTTTGTATATTGCAAGTTTTGGTACGGGAAAAGTATGAGAGAAAATATTCGGTATACTGTACCGAACCACCCCTAGTTATGTGCAGGCCATCTCCATTGCCTAGTTGTCTCCTTGCCTAACCCGCCTTCGAAAAGCTTTAGCACAAGATGTTAAGGTGGGTAAATTTGATTTCTTAAGTTTTATGTAGTGTCGGAGATGGTCTATGGACTAAATTCTCCATAAGAATAATTTTCTCCCTAACTTTCGTTTATGGTTTGTCTTTCCGGCAGACGGCTTGCGTCATTTCTTGTCCGACAAATGATTTGAAAAAAAAGGATGACACCCATCCCTGAGGCCCCCCCAACACCGATCGGACGGCACGATGGGATGATGTAAATTGGACTATAATCACAATCTGACAGATAGAGAGTGAGGCTCTGTCCCCGGTACTTGCAGAGGCCCTATGCATTTTTCAACATAGTAACCTTTCATCGCAGTTGCCGGGATTTGAACCCGAGACCTAACCCTTGTGGCACTCCCTCGCTACCAGTTGAGCTACGCCCACCGGTCCGACAAATGATTTGGATTAGTGGGAGGGCGGTCGTTACTACGCTCTGCCTCTCCATGATTTGCTTCTCTATGTTTGATGTTTCTGGATGTGCTGCTATGGATCGAATCTGAAGGTCTGTGATTGATAGCTTCGATTGGAAAATCGTCTGGCAATTTCTGGATTGAGTTCTGAGCAAGGGAGGAGACAGAAAGGGGGATCGCCCTCCTGGAGTGACCGAGGTGCTAGGGTTTGGAAGATGATACTGGTAGGAAGGAGCTTGGAGTATTTGCCAATTATTTTATTTTCTGGTCTTAATTTTGCGTTAAGTGTGTTTATGTTGCTCTGTCTTTTGTTGATATATTTAGTTTAGATCTATAAAAAGGATTGACAATTCTGCTAGATATTATTTCGTTAGAAGGATCTATATGACCAGTGATTGCTGTGTCACACCTGTTTGGTGGTTAGCGATTCGTATTGGTCTTTTGGGGTGATCGTTTTCTAAGTCTAGCTGTAGAGTTAATAGTGCAAGTTGGTTACAGATAGTTGTTGTCAGTACTGGTCTCTTTGAATTTGTTGTAATGATCCGACTTCTAATGATATTAATATAAACGGTTTTTTCTTTTAAAAAATAAAATAAACACTAACAGACACATTAAAAATTATACATATAATGTGTGAAATAAGTTGATAATTGTATATATCAAAGTTAAACGACTCTAATTTTATTTATATATTTAGCATTGTTGATTATAAAAAAACATCATTACATATATAGTTTATACTACAGACACATATAGTGGTTAGTTTGACGCGCGCACACATACTAGATAGTTGATTTTGTTTATGTATAAACGAATATATATTTCATTATTAGTCAAATCAAATACGTAATTTTTGTATTCGTTTTCCAAAGATGTTTGAACCAAAAACTGATGTGTATTCGTATTGACATTCTATATTTTCAAATTTAAATCATAATTTATGACTCAAAATCATGAATCGAATTAAAATTATATGTTTTGTTTATAATCCTTACTCCTTATGATACTTCTGGTTTATTACAAACTGGCTTGGAATGTGTATACGTAAATATATATGGGCTACACTCTGAAGGTATAGCTAGCTTTTAAAAGTTACTATAGTCTTATTGCTACTATTATTACTATTACTATCATTATTTATATTATCACTATTATTAATGAATATATTTGATTAACATTCGAATGAATATATTGATATTCGTATTTATATTTGATAGCAATTCGAATCAAATTTGATATTCTTATTTGTATTTGTAATCAAATATATTGTTATACTGTTGAAATAAATACTAAGAAAGTGTAAGATTGTGTGGGAATCATTTTAAAACATGTGATCCATCCTTCAATGTCAATCTAATAGTAACAACTCGTTAAATTGGCATTTTGTCCTTGATATTACAAAAATGAGTATAAAAGACGAAAATGTGAGCTCTTTTTTATATTTCCAAAAACGTGGCCAACTTCACAATTATACCCTGCAGTGACAAAGTGACCCTGGTCAAAGTGACTCCGGTCACAGTGACTTCCTACCGACCACAGTGACCCTGACCATAATGACTACCCGTCCTATTGACCACGTCGACACCGACCACAGTGACTGCCCACCCACCGGTCACAGTGACTGTCGCCGCACCTCCGACAAGTGATTGTCGCACCCCAAGTGATTGTCGCCACCCCACTGACCAATGATTGCCACCCCCGCCCCACCGGTGACCGTCGTTGGCCACAGTGACACATCCAAAATGACACCTCCACAGTGACACTGGTCATATTTACCCATTCCAATAACCACCGCCGATCACTTCCGCCGTTGCAGGCCACCACGACAGTTGTCGTCGCCTGCAACTGATGTCGGGCAGCAGTGCTACTCCCTGTCATTTGACTCCAGCGGCAACCCAAGCGCCCCAACCACCCTGCCATCCCAACATAGTCCACCATCTCCGACATCCTCATCCCCGAGCCACCTCCCCATCCCTTGCCCCCAACCACCCTCCCCAACTCCTAACCTGACCAAACTTAACCCAACCCTTGATCCATCCCTAGCCCCAGTCCCAGTACCCCCCCCCCCTTTCCCACTTTAGTTCCCTAACCCCCATTCCCTGTCCTCAGCCCCCCTCCCCTGCTCCCCCGCCCCCTGGCCCCTGCCCTCCCCCCAAGCTATTCTCCGGTCAGTTCGCCCAAAACTCTA